CGTTTCCATCTGCATAAGCATAGAGGACTAATGGTCTGTCGTTTTCATCCTTAACGTCGTCTGATATTGGAGAGGTGGTCGTCGAATACTGTGGCGAGTTGGTAAACTTCACCTCCTCTCGTATGAAGGACGTACGTACAAGAGATGATTTTACTGAAGTCTCTCTCAACGAATACAACGTCCAGATCAAAATTAGGAAGATAAGAATACCAAGCGAAGGCGTTCTTATATGCGACGCCATAATGATAGACATGAGCTCGAAGACTTCCTAAGGAGATCAAGATAAGGAAAGAACATTGAAGAGGACACCGAGCAATGATATAGAAAGTGGATCCAAGCTTCGAATCCTCTTTCGCGGCCTCGCCCCACCCTTCATAAATAGCGAAAGTTTATTTTTTAGATACTCGTAGCCCGTGCTTCACTGATTGTGCGTACTACTTGAGCTAGATCGGGTGGGTATTATATGCCCGAATTGAATGGGGGTTGGTGTGATAACCAAGTAGGGCCGAGACTATTGCGTATGCAATAAGTCCAATGACGCTATTAGACGTATGATATTTTTATGACAGATATAAGGGGAAGGATTCTACGCCTGCGGGTATTAAATATTCGTGGCTTTAACTGTGCTGGCAACAAGGTATCTATATCAAAACTCTGGTGTTGTGGCCTTAAAAGTGCGAAAGTGGCACAAATAGGCCGCTTCTGGGAGTAAATCATCCCCATAACGAATTAATGATGTTCTTCAAACAATCTGACGTCGCTGGAAAGGGCGATATTCGACTGCGTATGAAAACCAGAACAAATAAAAGTGCTGCAAAAGGTTTCAAAACATCAGATCAAGAGGAGTTACCAACATATAGATAAGTGAGATAGAGTTCATCTGGGTTTAACCTACGACTTCAAGTTCGTGTCCCCATGTGGAACAGCATGCCATTACACTTGTCGTAGCTCGTTCTGCTCCGAAGTCTTGATAGTATACTAGTCACACACTTGTCAACAGCCTCAAAATGCTAGTTCCCGCCTCAATCATACTTCTCAAACATCGCTTGAAAGGTTGAATGGAGCGTAGGTAGAGGTGATCTTGGTTTTCCGGTCGATAATCTAAAAAATTCGTATGATCTGATATGCGCCGAATCCTCCCTAAGCCTCACATCAAAGGATCCAAATCCTTGCTATATGCTAGATCTGAAGAGTTCAATTAACAAATGGACATTTGTTGCCTCGGTGGTGCTAACTTACTGGGGAGCTCTTCATGCTTGTCATCTCTTACCAGGTGACATTACTAAGAACCCCCAACGTGCATTAAGAGTTGTTGGTGGTTGAGTCTTGTCGGGTCTTTCCATCGCGTTGTAATGAACCGTCCCCGCGCGCATCGGTGTTATGGTGATACAACTGTTGGATTTTCTCTCTGTTAGGTTTCTTTTGCCAATTTGTGTCACTCCGCTAGACCGCCGGACAATTGGATCGCTGGATCGTAAGATTGGAGATTGTAAATATCAAACCTAGTTGTCTTTAGGAATGAATAACGCGGCAGGCGTCGTAAGCGTGGTAAAGACACTAGTACAGGCACGGCAAAGCGTGTGGCACCTACGTAGAATATTCTCTTTTAGATGCACCCCTATTACTGTTATAGCCACGTTCATTAAGCGAGCCAATGAACATCAGATTCTAGTGGCTGAGTTCGAGCCGGTAACCTTACTCTTGATGCTAATCGTATACTCTCACCTTATTCACGAATCTCCCAATTCTGCATCCTGCTGTGTTAAGGTTTTACCTCAATCTGGCAACCTCACTACCTCAGTGAATCTATAGGGCTGGTGTCTCAAGGTCAGTGTGGTTTCATCATCTAAAAAGACCAGCTCTTCTTCTCCACCCTTGGATTTTGGTACTCAGCCGATGAAACAGCCCCCTTTCAGCTTTTAGAAGCAAAGGAGAAAAGCAGTAAGCGAGACAGAGAAAAATTAAATCTATGTCTTCATTTCTTAGCTGTCCTCTAATTCGTTTTGACAATGTGATTTTTGCTTTATATCCCATTTGATTGTAACTTCGTTGTTCATTGTATCGTGCTGCTCCTATGAGTATGGCAAAAGCGGGTTTTCATGTTTCAGAGCCTCAAGCGAAGCCACAACATGTTCTGTGCAACACCTATCAAACGGGCGTATGTGGCTCGAAGTGGCAAGGCGTAAACTTTAATTCCTGAAATTCCTATCAAGTTGGGGATCAAGCCCCCGTCTAAAACAACCAAAATATCATGAACGTCAATGCCGGAGGGGAGAAGGGATCACCAGCATGTGTCTATGCTTCTCCCCATAACCCCCATAACCCCCATGATAAGCATGTAAGGCAGTGAGTCCCCGAGAACGACCCAAGATTGTTCTTCGTTGATCTCCATCATTGCACTTTAGCCATTTCCATTTATCCTGTCATCACTCATTTGGTAGTAGTGATGTGATGTCTTCTTTTGACCCTGCAGTTGCAATACCAACGCTAGTCGGCAGTTTACTTTCTTGTGTCTCATCGGGGTTGATCTTCGCGTGTTATATTTTCCTTCCTCAGATACCCCATTTTCGTCATGTTCTCATTCTTAACCTTTCGCTGGCTGGTAAGAATATCCTCCCTATAATACAGTGTAACTAGGCTAACGGATAGGATAGACTTCATCAATTCCTTCAACAACTCAATCTCCGGGATTTACATGTTTGCCAACGATGGGGGGCTCAGTGACGGAGGAAAATGCACGGTGAACGGATTCATTGGGCAAATGTCAGTTCAAGGGACAGACTTTGCGATTCTCTTGATCGCAATGGCAACTGTATTCGCGCTTCGAGGAAACCAACCTATTCTCGACACAAGCTTGAAGAGCAAAATCATCCTCTCATTTTGTGTGTGGCTGGTCCCCTTTACTACAAGTGAGCAACTCGCACATCCCAAGCTGCCAACTTAATCATACTAACCTCGACTGAAGGTATCGTAGCACTAGGTCTAGGAGCCTATACACCCGTCTCCGGAAACTGGTGCTGGATATCCAAGAACCCACCCGTCCTCCGCTACGCCCTCAACCACGGCTGGCGCTTCCTCATCATCCTCATCACCGTCTGTCTCTACATATACCTATACTTCTACTTTCGCGCACACTTCTCTGAGATCAAAGATCTCATGCGCCCCGCCTCGCACTCCACCAGCGAACCCAACAACCTCAAACTAAACCCCATCCCCGATGATGAAGACAGCTTCGAGGAATTCGAAATGCGAAATAAAGGAGTCTTTATCAGACCCTATGACGCAGCCGAAGACACAGTCCCGATTTCCTCCTCGAAAGTACTTACAAACATCACATCTTATACACAGTCAATTTCCTCACCCTCCACCATCACACCCTTCAATTACCCACACACCGCCTCCGTGCAGCGAAAACAGCACGAGATTCAGAAAGTCTTACTTCTTAACGCCTATCCGGTGGCGTATGTCATTCTCTGGCTTCCCGGTATCATCAACCGCATTTACGAACTTAATGGGGATAGTAGTTTGGTGTTCCGAATTTTGCAGAGTAGTAGCCAGTATGTGGGGTTGGCGAATGCGATTACGTATGGGTATAATGAGGGAATTAAAAGGCAGCTGAGAACGTGGTGGGATAAGAAGAGGGGAAACGGGCATCAGTTTTCTGAGAGTGTGTATTTTTAGTTCGCGATATTTGGACACGTTTCAAATGGGGGTTTGGGTGGTTTCGATTTGATACTAAAATACTCGGTTCGCCTCGTGATACGAGCTTTATCATATACTCGAAACGGCTTCCTAAGTAAAATGGCTTGTTTTGGCGATAGATTTAGATATAATTTTATACTTGAGTCACTACACTAAAATCATACTAAATTCTAACATTTAGTAAGGAATAATTAAAATTTATTGGGATCCTATAAAGTTCGACTATTCTGAGATTATTACTATAATCTAAAAGTGTATTATCCGAGGCTATAGCCGAAACAAGCTATTTTACTTAGAAAACCGGTTTACTTATCCCGAGTATTTAACAAAGCTTATTCACGAGGAAAACAGAGGATATTAAATAAAAAAAAGCCCCAGCTCCTATTCTAACCACTACACCAAGCCCACACTTATATGACTATATAAATTCTTTCGCACACTATTTCCTCCAATCAGAACAGCTGATCGGGATATAAATCGGATTTACCTCGACGGATGGTACGCTATAGCAGCCTATCGTCATTCGACCGCCAGGAAACGGAGGGCCCCCCTTATCCAACTAGGTTCCCAACCCGTGGCCCCAGGTAACAGGCTAATAAAGATATAGGACCGAAAGGTCTGAACTTTTTGATTTTTCCTCTTCCCCTGAATAAAAGTACACGGCAACGAAGGAGTCGATATAATAACACTTAGATAGTAATACTCGGGATAAGTAAAACAGCTTCCTATTTTGGCGATAATATCAGATATGATACACATATGGGATTCTATTAAAGTTAATTATTCCGTACTAAATGTTGGAATTTAGTACATAGTAGTTCTAGTATAAAATTACATCTAAAGCTATCGCCGAAAAAAGCCATTTTGCTTAGGAAGCCGTTCTGTTTATCCCGAGTGTATGACCAAGCTCATATCATGAGGCGAATCGGGCATTAAATAATAAGAATGTGATCGTATATAAGTTTAGTTTCCATTAGCGTCCTTTCGACATAAATATGGCCTCTTAGCACTTGGATTGAAGGAAACTCCGTAAAGTTGGTAATTGCTGAATACGTTCATAAGGACTTTTAGGTGCTAAGTCTTCCGCCCCCTCGCGGAATCCTTGATGAAGCGATCATACAGACTCAAGGCCCTATCACTATATAAAGTAAGCGACTAGATCACGTGCACGGCCCCACCACCCAACCGCTCACCTCTCTCCTGAATCCCCCCATGTCAAAATTTCTCGCTAATTCCCCTCCCCTCTTTCATCATAAGCTCAAACGACCGACCTTCTTCCATCCAATCACATCCCATTAGCGGCTTTAGCTCACTTGGGAGAGCGCCAGACTGAAGTTAACTTCGGATCATTCAAAGTTTATCTGGAGGCACTGTGTTCGATCCACAGAAGCCGCAATTCTGCGGGTGGCAGCCAACTGTCATTCACCCTTCGAACAATTTTTTTTCTTCTTCTTTGTGGTCTCGTTTAAGAGGGAAGACTTGACTCTTGGGTTCGTTCGCGAGTGAAAAGTATTTTGCATTAGAGATGAAGAAGGCGAGGTTTAGTTGTGCGCACAGATAGGTCCGGAGAATGTTAAGCGACGTTTCTGAGGTAGAATCTGTTAGTTGTTCAGATAGGATGAATTAGAGAACGAATTCTTGAAGAGGTTTTCTACCCTTTTATTATTTGGGGCCTTGAACGCTTCTACTTCTACAGTATAGGGTAAGAATCTGGAAGATTGAAAGTCAATTGATATCCTTTATTAATTTCATAATTCTACACCTAAAATTGAGTTGCGTTCTCTCGCAAAAAGTAGAGTGTTTCCTGATCCATATAGACCATCCCGTAAGCGACGCGTAGTACTATACATTGTCCACGATGGAGTTGGTTAAAATAATCCAAGAATTAATACATCTCTACGAAAACCAAATTCCCTTCCTCCAAGAAATCGATCGAACATATCAATTAGTACGTACAGCTCCTCAGATCGTGAAATCCCCTCCAATGGCACCCATACCAAAATCGAAGTCCATATCGTTGAACGAATTGTTATTAGTCGACGGCGCAAATTGGAAATTCCACTCATCCTATACACGGTCAGCTTCTCGTCAAGTTCCATGAAACTTGGATACTTGCCCAATTGAGATATTCGCTCGGTGGCATGAGCCCCCCCTTATCTTCTGAGAAATTAGGAGCAAGAGAGATGGAAGGCTGCCCCAAAGAATGGTCTGCAAAGTTGGTAGGTAGTGGCTGCTGCAATGGCGTGGTCGCCATGATTGGATTTGAACAGGTGCTCTCCGCTGTGGTATAAGAAGCACCCATGGCTTTCTTCCCAATCTTGTCTAGCACAACCCTTAAGGCCTCTGCACCTCTTCTGGCTTCTTTAGATTGATCGCTGAGCGATGTCCAGACTTCATAAGATTGCCGCATTGCGCTGATGATTTTCTCCTTGCCCTCAGGGGTATCAAACTCCCCAGCGCAAGTAGCCTCAACGTCGCCCTCCACAAGCGTTTCATTCATATCCAAGCAGAGCGTCGTCGTACCGACCAGGAAGTCATGATGAATGGCACTGGACAATTTCCACTTGTGTCTACGTAGCTGAGATGAACTGAGATCTTTTGCCTGATGCTGTATGATCTGCATTGCGGCACTGAGTGAAATGTGGCGCGAGTACATGTAAGCGGGATTCGTTCGACCGAGCATACGGTAGCTACGATGTAATGTGCAGCGGGATGAGTCTATTAAGATCCTAAAGTACATTCGTTGCATAGAGCGGAGTGGTGTTTCATTCTGGATATAATCCGGGGCATGAGCCTGGAATGGTGATGGCAACGCAGCTACAGTCTCGTCCAGAAGATTATCGTGCCGCAACACTTCCCTACAAATTGAGAATATATTAGCTTTTGTTATTGCGATAGTATCCCAAGACAAAGAAAGCCTCTTTCATTCCCCGGCAGTGCAATTTAAACCCTTGAAAAGCCTTTGCGGAGAAGCATTTGGAGAAGGAAATACGTGGCTATTACGAGTAAGGTGGAGCTGTAACGTTCGCGGTAAGATCGATAATTTCTGCCTTTACAAGGCATATCTTGTGTTTGGCGATAACGTACGACATGAGGGTAATATCCGTGTCTGCTCGTGGCGGAGGGAGCTCGACAGTGTGTTCATCAAAGTCATCATCGACGATATTCCGGGGAAGCTCCGTATCGTACATGCCCTTTTGTATCATTCGAGGCAACCCAACTTGATGGGACATTGCCATATCGACCTGGACAACCATGGTCCAAGTCCGTCGCCGCATTTCTGCATGATAAGGCGACATTTTGGGGTAGTAAGATGGATCTCGGTGGTATCCAGCACGCATAGCGATGCGAACAATCATTCCGAGCAAAACATAGGTTCCAAACTGAGTATCGGGGCATCTGAAATGCTCCACAGCGAAATACATACAAAGTGTCTCCACAGTGTATCGTGTGGGGTTAGTATATTTTCCTATTATCAAGCATTGAACGAGCCTTTCTCGGTAATTGTGAAACTCGCGATTGTGTGCTAGACCATATGGTAGTTTTTCCTGGTTACGAGACTCCCGATCGCGACAGTGAATTGACAGACACAGGACTCCAAAAAGCAAGCCTAGCCACACCACGGGAGTCTCTGACGGATTAAGCCAGAAGCTTTCATACTAGACCTTCGTTAGAGATGTCCTAAATCTTTTCCGCAAGCAAGAGAGTATTACCTCCTTTAAGAAGGTTCGAACGTGGACGATTACTCAACACCTTTTAGCTATTGAACTAGTTCATTCTCAGGGTTGGCATATCTTACCTGGAGCCATGTCCATTGATTCGAAGTATGATGAGACCAGTCTATCTACTTGGGGTCGAGGAGGGAGGCTTGCAATGATTTCCTGTTTCGTGGCTCGACTATTCAAGCCAAATAGAAGCTGCGGATCACCGACGCTGAGATCTGGCGTCTCGGAGGCCGTCTCTTCGACCGGACTGGTCTCTTCCTCGAAATAGTCTTTCAGCTCAGAAATCTGTACCGGAAGTCAGAAATCATGAATCCAAGCGCAGCCAACTATTGATAGAGGATTTGAGGGTTCTTCATTGAATCAAAGACCCCTTACAAGCGTCAGACTACTTCCAAGGGAAAGAAGACAGACAATACTATTAATTACGATCACAATTGTTGACATGGCCGAAGTCGGAATACTGAGAAAGAATGAACTTACCCCGTCGAGTACAGAAGTCCAATGATTGCTGTCCACGTATGTGGTTCTCGCCTTCTCGAGCGTGATTCGTCCAAAGGTATCAGATAGCTTTCCCTCTTCGAGCTTTTCCAAATTTCCAGACGCATGAATAGACTCGTTTACCCGTTTGGGAGGTACTGCTGTCTCAATGTCTGATGATTTACTATCTGCTCCCTTCGAAGCATTCAAAGAGCTCATGAGCGAGATGACTAGTCCTTCAAGCTGATTGATTTTGTTCTGGATGTTGCCATTTCCTGTATTTCGAGAAGCACGGCGTTTGTCGACACCGCCCACTATATTATGGGTTGGGTAGGTGCAAGAACTGGCGAGTCCTCGACCAGAACATGACCGGCAGGGTTGATTGCGGTCGCACTTCAATCTTGGAAACTTTTAGCAAGTAAAGGTATGAAGCACTTGAGAGACTCGTACTTCTTGCTTCTACATAGAGTACAAGAGAGCTGGATTTTTTCACGGCGGCGGATTGGCTTGGCGATTGGCTTTTGCCCTGGTGGTGGTGAAGGCCATTGCTGACTATTGTCCGGAGTGGTAGCAGTTGACAAGTTCGACATCACAAGTTACAATAGGTAGCTCTCCCTCCGATGTCAGTCTGAAATCTCCGCAAGCTTTGGCGTAGGGTGGCTGTTCTGAAGTGACAGTGTTGATGATGTGTTCTGGGTAGGGACTTTCAAGTTTCTGAGCAACCTGCTATGTTGACAGGTAACCTTGATCAAAAATAAGATGAACTGATGATGTTATACATGCGGCTCAGGTAAAATATGACTTGTATTTTGATATAAAGGGAACAATTGAACTGACGCGTGGGTCTTGCTCAGTCGTCCCCTGTAAGTCCGAGTGTCCACCAATTACATGTCGACCTAAGGGTCAGCATTGGGATGAGTAGACGAATAAGTGCTGCCTACACGGCGAGACATCAAGATTGATCTGTCTGTGAGACTGAGTCAGAACGGGCTAATTCTACTTAGCGCTCATGTTTGTGGGGATGAACACAGATCTCGCTCAGCTTCACCTTAACTGGTTTGGTTACATAGTGTAAAACTTGTTGCTGCCTGAATCCAAACGATGGGATGGATGGAAAGGTGAAAAGACGTCGAGGATGAAGGCTTCCAATCCCTCCGTTTCCCATCCTCACTCTAAAGACCTCACTCTAAAGACGGGGCTGCGGTAGGGATGGGTCACCTGACAAGCTGCACGTGCCCTGTTTTTAAAACGAAGGTGGCTCGTGGTCCTTCTAGCCAAGACGGAACTGAAGAGAGGTGTGCTATCTCGTTTGTCTCATGGCGTGCGATGACGTCAAAATCAAGGCAACGAGATCTCGTCGTCGCTGTCCTATCGATTCTATGTATTTTAAGGCTCCCATCATCACGTGCGGGAGCGAGCTAATGAAGTGGCGTTTTCGGAGAAAAAGATGCCGCCCTCCGAGGCCGACCAGCTCTTCTTTCCTTTGCGTCTCTCCGTTGGACTATATTGAACTTTTGCTCTCTGCTGTCGATTGTGAAATGACACCGCCCCTCTGCTCTGCGCCATCTATTTCTTGAGGATATCTAGCCCAAGTTGACTTTCTCTTGGTCACGCTAACAAGCAGCCATGGCTCCCCTGATCCCCTCTGCGAAAGCCACACTGTCCTACCCGCTCTATGCTTGCGATTTCGATCCTCTCGATAGCTCGCGCCTAGTAGTTGGCGGAGGCGGTGGAGCCGGAAGAAGTGGCATTGGAAACAAAATTGTGAGTGCTTTGTCGTCTTGCGCCAACTGTTGGTCGCATGTACTAATACCACCCTATGTAGACTCTTCTGGATGCTTCAAATCCCAGCGAACTGGAAGAAATTGGCGAAATAGACCTTAGCAAGGACGAAGATAATGTGACAAGTTTAGCATTCGGGGGACAAGGGAGCAAGACCTTAGTCTTCGCCGGCGCAAATTCGAATCCTAAAGATGCGGAGAAGGGAACGAATGCGCATTTTCGTGTCTTTGAAATCGCCGAGGCCGGAAAGTCTAAAGGAAAGGGGAAAGGGAAAGCGAAGGCCGTAGAGGAGAAAATCTTCCCAAATAAGATCACAGAAGTCTCGAGGTCGATATTGTTCCAAGGTTCAGACAAGGACACGTACCAGCGACTCTTGCGATTATCGAAACCATACCCAGGACAATCGCAATT